TTATTAATAGTATTATAATGTTAAATTAGTACTGTAGTTCTTCTACCCAACCTTAAGAATTACTGGATTATGATCTGCATAAATAGGAGTTGCCACTTCATATCTGCAAAATTTCTTATCAATGAGTTAGAAATTTAATACATGCCTATTGTTGAATTCGTTTTATTAATTTCAACTCCTCAGATTCAAGGAGCTTGTTATTATTGATAAAGCCTTATGTAGCTCAGGTCCCTTGTGCTTGAAATAATGTCTTCTTCAGTAAGTTGTTCCTTAAGAGCTACACTCTGCAAACAACAAACTTTTCTTTCTGCTGCCCAAAATAAACCTGTCTGGAATTGATTAGGACTAGGGCCTTTTGATACTGTAATACTGTAGTGCCAGTGAGCTACAATTTCCTCCCTAGTCTGTCTGTACGACCTCTTCTTTTCCACACTTGAAGAAGAATCAGAATATGTTCAACATATGTTCTATTTTCATTCTTTAGCTTTCCCTCCACAGTAGCCATGCCAATTTTGCTTTCAGTGGTTTCCCCCATTTATTTTTCATTTGCTTTGTGATTCATTTGCTCTAACGTTGTGATTGTTTTGATGCTCATTCATGGTATTTGTATTATTGGTTGGCTTAGTTTATCTTGATTGTTGTTTATTGGTTTGATTGTGTGAAAGGTGTGAAGGCAGTGAATGAGTCAAACAAACACAAATACCTCCCTAATCTTACATTGGAGAGCCTTTTAAAATACAATAACAAGGAATTGGCTGTACAGATTTTGAATGGCTGATGCATTATACGAAAGCGCACATTTTAATCATGGTTTGTTCACCAATCTAAAATGTCCAGATTGTTACATATAACCTAAGCTCCAGAGATTAGGTTCATCCCTTATACTATGCAGCAAACAATTACTCTCTAGTTTACAGTACTGTGATTTTTGAACTCTTCGCACCAATGTTTCCTTGGTCTTCTGTCCCTCTGGTGAAGAGCTTTTAAGCAAAGTAGCAGGCTTCCTGTTTCTAGTCCTTTCTTATTTACCTCCAAGAAACCTGATACACATCCCAGGAGAAAAGGGATTCTTGGCTCTTGGCCTCATACCACCTGCCCTCTCTCATCCCTGGTAGCCTTCTGTCTAATCCTTTTGTGTTCAGTGGGGCTGCATCCCAGCAGTCGTCTCCGTCTCCTCCTCCTCCTCCTCCTCCTCCTCCTCCTCCTCCTCCTCCTGTACAAATTAGTAATCTAGTACAATTTAGTAATCTAGAACAGGGGTCTTCAAACTTGGCCCTTTTGTGACTTGTGGACTTCAACTCCCAGAATTCCTCAACCAGCAATGCTATCTGCTGAAAGAGCTGATGGTGATCTATTCGGGCTTGCAGATTATTAGAATCAATCCTAAAATAAACATGAAGCATAAATTAAATTCAGCTTTAACAGTTTACTCCTGGTGCTGCATATTGTAGAGCTTTGCAGTATTGGGGCATACGGGTCTGTCCAATAATGGGCAAAGCTTGAAGAGAGGAACTTTCAAAGCAAAACCGCATGTCTCATATAATTCCTGTCAGGATAATAGTATATAGATAATATAGTAGGTAGATAATATAGGTAAATTTGTAGGTTTTTTTCTTCTTCTTTGGACACTAACATTTCTTTATTTCTTTATAATGTATTTCTATAAAATAAAGTTTGGTGCAGTAATAGTTTGGAAACCAGGAGACTGAGCTCTAGTCCCAATGATTGGTCCCCCAGATAGCTAGCTGGGTGTCCTTGCGCCCTTCACTCTCTATCAGTCCAACCCACCTCACAGAGTTGTTGTTTTGGGGGAAATAGAAGGAGGAAGGTGTGTTGGATATGTTTGCCCCCTTGAGTTACTTATAAAATAATAATAAAGGTGGGATAAAAGAGTTAGTTAGGTCTGGTAATTAAGGTGCTGGTCTAGAAAGCTGAAGACCGTGAGTGCAAGAGCTGCCTTAGCCATGAAAGCCAGCTGGGTGACTTTGGACCAGTCATTCTCTCTCAGCCCAACCCACCTCATAGGGTTGTTGTTGTGGCGAAAGTAGAAGGAGGAAGGAGTATGAAATATATTTGCTGCCTTGAGTTATTTATAAAAATAATAAAAGTGGAATGCAAATGAAATAAACAAACAAATTCTAATGAAATAAAAAACATTGAAGTGTTGCTTTTGTGATTGGAAGAGGATCCAAACTTTCAACTGCTTTCAGATTACAAAAACCTGTTCAATATCTAACTTCAGAGTTCTATATTTACAGAGAAAGTTTTTGGCTCTTCATGCTGATAACTGAACAGCAAAACATCTTTGTTTGTTCTGATACTGTTATTCTTGTTTCCTGATTCAAATGGGAAACCATAATTAATTGAGGACTTCCTGTCTGTTTGCCAGACTGGGCAAAAGCTCTTTTATATCTCTTTTTAAGCTGAAACATTATTACCCAGACTTCCCTAATGATTGCCATTCAAACAGCTTGTTGGTGTGCTTATTTGGGTGGGGGTTGAAAACCAAAGAGAGCTATTTTAATATTACCCTACTTTACATTATAACAGACCTGGGCATTTTACAGCCCCTGAGCCACATCTGGCCCTTCAACTGTCCCTATCTGGCCTGCCTGAAGTCAATTCAAAATTAGAAATCAAATATGTTTGCCCCAGAAGGCGGGAGTAGCAGCCAAGTCAGGTCCAGCTCTGTGCAATCCCCATGTGATCCTTCAATCCTGCTGATTGTGTGAGGATGAAGAGAGAAAGTGCTTTTCTCGCCCCCTCACCTGAGGAGATGGTAGTGGTGGTCATCGCATAAGGGGACCCAATCTCAGTCACCGACCACTGTCTCAGTATGAGTGGCCTTGCAGGTGGAGTGTACCCGGGAACTATTGGTTTAGGCCTCCACAACAGTCCAGTTTCTATTGCGGCCGCTTGGAAAAATTAATTGCCCATCCCTGCATTATAGATATAGATAATATGAGAATCGCCTATTAATATGCATGGTAATTCCTAAATGAGTACAAACCTCTGCTGCAAGAATTGCCTGAAGCAAAAATCATAGAATTATGCTGTTTCTTTGCTTTAACTTTAAGCCGGGAATTAGTCATATTGCAACTGAGAAAGTAGAGAATGACTCTTATTGTTGTTCCTCCATGCATTGTATAGATCTTTCCTCTACTGCTTCCTCAATCAAAGAAAATAGAGAAGGGATAGGTTTACATTCCTTCCCCTCGCCTAAATTTATCAGATTTGGAGAAAATGAGTCAGTTGATCTTCTGAACAATGCAATTCTGTGTTTATATGGGTTATTTTAATTTTCCCATGAATTTGGCTTGCTTTGATGCAGGTCAGGATTATCTGGCAAGAGACTTGGCAAGAATCTAGTTGAAAGCAAACTTGTTCTGTCCTGTCCTGTCCTGTCCTATTCTATTCATTATTATGATGATATGTGGGTAATCTATACTTGGATTCACAATCCAAGACTGGTGGAAACTTAATAATTCAACAGGTATAACCAAAGAATGATCAAGTTAGTGTCTAAGAATATAGGGAGTTCACAGTAGGGTGGGCTTTTTTTTTTTTTGTAGAATTAGGTTGCTGATGTCCGATAAATTCGATATTTCCAGATATTGAGGGAATTCTTTAGATATTACTCCAGTCTATTCACAACAGTGTGAAATCACAGCTGCCAGTTCTTTAGCTGATGTTGGCCTTGCAGTTTGCAGTTTATGATAACTAGAGAAGATGGACTGTGATATGTCCTTTGGTGTTGGTTTTGGTAGGAATAGCTAGATAAAGATCATATGAAACCTGACTAAAGTATTCAAAGGAAAAAGTTTTGCTATGCAGGATGTATATCAGATCTGCCCCAGCTTAAACCTCTAAGTAACAACGATCCTTAACCTCATTTAATGAGAAAAGTACTGTATAGTTTATTAAAAGTCAAGTGAATTACAGTAGTGCATAGCCAGAAGTGAGAAATTGCGTGCCAAAAGCCCCAACTCTTAACTTTTCCCTCCCTTAAATTGCCTCCCATGCCTGGACCCCCCAAGTCCAATCAAATTCAAATAAGATATTTGTAGAACGGTTGCTTCAGGCTTTGTCTGTATAAGTTTAGAATAGGGGTGGGTCTATGGGTCACAGAGGTAGCATGGGTTCCACCCAAACCAATTTTGTGACTGTTAGATTGCTGTAAGTTCAATGCTTTTTCCTCCCCTGCTTTTGGAAGTCAAAATAAGGAGAAATATAGATATGTAAAGGTTCTGCAAAGCCTACTGTCTCTTCAGTTCACCAAACTCACCTTCTTTCCAAAGGATCATTGGCTATATACCATGCAACCATTAATCAAAACAGCTTAAAAATGCAGCATTGTCCACTGGGTTAGAAAGATTGCATGCTTCTTCACTAAATTTTAAGGAGTAGGGTTAGAAAACATTTTTACCAACAGCTAAGCCAGTCAGCATAAACAGTAGTTTGGGGTCTGGCTTAGTATATTGTAATCAGTGTCTCCAGCTATCCCCATTTGCTTACTGCTGTCATTGTTAGGGTGATTTTATTTATGCCTTTTCTACCCTAAATGAAATGAATTTAACAAATACAGAAGTAACTGAGCATGTATATTGCTTAAGCATGTATTCTAGCATAAAGGAGCAAGTAGCATGTATTTCTTTATTTTAAAAGTTAAATATTGTTGAGGATCAGTTTCAGCTTGAGTGTTTCTGTTTGCAGAGATCAGAATGTCTGCCGAGGAGTGGCTGGTTGAATGTCATAGCCCAAGGCAAGAGAAAAATGCTTGAAGATAGGAAAGTTTATATGAGCCATGCTGACATAACTGGAAAGCAATGTGCAGCCAATCCTTGTTTAACTTGCAAATGTTAAAAGGGCTTTTCTCAATGTGTTAAAACTACATTTTCTGGTTTAAATTCATGGTTAGGCTGCTGTTGTCCTGTAGTGCTAAATTATCACCAAAAAATGTAGAACAACGTTAGTAATTGTTGCTCTGGTTTTTCTTTCAGATGATAACCAAACCAAAACAAATGAGAAGAAAGAAAAAAAAATGGTATCTCAGAAACCCCAGGGTACAATTGAATACACGGTAAGGCTTGATTGGGAATTTTTAGACGTGGGAGTTGTGGAAATGTCCACTCCTTCACTAATTTGTGTACTTGAAATGTCACAAAATTGCTTACATAATAATTTCATGTTAACTATAAAGTTTTGTGCTAATAAGGGGATAAAATCTTTTTCTCTAACTGTAACTGAAGTATGTAAAATAAAGCAACTTAGCATATGATGTGTCATTTCTTGAGTGCTCTGTGTCTGAGCATGTGTGTTTGCATGCGTGTGTGCGCACCTGCGTCTCTGTGTGTGTGATTTCCCCTGACAGTGCTTGAAATCCATTTGAAAACCAGAATTGTAGCTTCTGTAAACATTTTAAGTGTTTTTTCTATTTGTACCATTTTCCTACTAGACATATCCACTTTGCTAACTGCTGCTTGCCTTTCCGGTTGTTTAGTGGTATTTTCCTGGCCAAATAACAGCTGTAGGAAACAATTTTTCACGGGACACTTAACATGTTTTTTCATGTAACAATATTTTATGTCAATTACTTAGAAACAGAGCTGAGTAGCATTGGACTTCCTCCAGGTACATATGCTGAAAAATTAGTGAAATTATTTTGTGAAGTAAGAAATTAAGAACCATTCTCTTCTTGTTTGTTTTTGAAGTATTAGGTTGATTTCACAAATAGTTGAATAATAGCTGTTTTTGTCATAGGTTACTTACGTTTCCCTGCAAGTAGTGCAAATGAAAGCCCAATTATATATAAAATATAGATTTTCCATGTGTGGAATATTTGTTAACATATATAAGAAGCTATGTAGGACATCTTCTTATGTAGGTGCTTGGGGGGGGGAAGTATTAGGAGCAAGAATGGGGAGGGGGGTTTCCTGGCAGTGGGAAACTACCTGTTCTATATCTCGACAGGAAGTGCTGCAAAACAGGAAGTTATTCAGCTTGCAGAGATCTCTATTAACCCCATAAAGTCCTGGGGACACAGGAGTCTAGTAATTTGTGAATCTTTGTGTATGGAAAATCTTGAATGTACAAATGAGGTGTTGTAGCTATCACACGTGATGGCTGTTTTGGAGAGGAGAAGCTATATTTTCCATAAATAATTCTGGAATTTGGTGTGTCTTAACTGCCATCTGATCTTTGGCATAATATTGATGTACTAAGACTGTTGTTTTGTTGTCCACCAAAATTAGATATCTTTATGTGTTGGAATACCTATTCTTGACTGTTTTGAAAGGACAAATATAAAACTAGAGAATATTATCTATGGGATTTCAGGATTGCTGGATTGGAAAGGGTTTAGCTGAAAAAACAACAGTGAATAATCTACTTACTCTATGATGCCTGCATATATAAATCAGTAGAAAATGGATGGAATCAAATTTGCTTTGAATTAGAAACCATGAGTTCTGCTGCTTCACCCAAGTTCTTTAAAACCTTTTTCTAGAAGGATTGACCTATTGGTCTGTTGCATCAAAAGATAATAAGAATCACATAGTATCTCAGTGATTAAGATTTAGAATATAAATTTATTGTTTTTGTCCATAAAATATAATTCAGAAGATGTTTTTGGCTATACATGTGCACACACATATTTACTCACAAAAAAACCCATCCTCAGTGAAGATTTCCCTAATGTGACGAAGTTTTTATGGTTTGACCAACATGCTCTTGGGTAGTTGTGGAAAAATATTCTCGTGGTTGAAAGTGGGGCAAAAGGAATAAATCTCATATTGACTGCTGCAAAATGATTGCTTCTTCATACAGTATAGTTGAGACAAAGACAGAAGGAACCAAAAGTCATCCAGTGGTGACTACACAGATAAACCAGTCACTGTGCTGTGGGTTTGAAATTTCTGATGTCATTATTTTGTGGACTCAACATCTGAAATAATAAGTTCTTTTTCTATGTTCCAAAACATTTTTGCAGCAATCTCTGAATGTAGACCAGATATTTGTTTTAAAGAGGCATGATTAGTTAAAATATATTTTGAAATTTAAACTTTCTATCTTCTCTCTGTCTCAGGCTGGAAGCCAAGACACCTTAAACAGCATAGCCCTGACGTTTAACATCACTCCAAATAAACTTGTGGAACTCAATAAGCTTTTCACACACACAATTGTTCCAGGCCAGGTAATTGTGACAAGATTTGATTTGTGCTAATGTTTTTCAAATAACTTTTGATGATAGAAATGATAAGCTTAGCTATATGGCTGGTAGAGCGCAAGAGCTTCCAGTTTACCTTTACAGTAACTGATTTGTTATTTTGGTCTGTGATTTATATTATATATTATACTCTGAATTTGTCCTGAATTTTGTAATGCTTAAGAAATTTCTTAGCAGGATCCTCCCTGTGAATAGCATACACGATTAAACATGAATCCTGTTTGTTTCTGACCAATCCAGTGATGCTTATTTGGCAGTTCATCAAGTCTTCCTTCTTGCCTGCTTTATTTTTTGCATATGAGGGATTTTCAGGTGCAGGATGCTTCTCCTTCCTCCAGTTCATGCACCTTCTGGTCTTGGAGGCCCAATTCTAAAAGTGCTGTTTTTGCAATAGCAAATATCTCCCCATGCATGGAAACAACCTTTTGCCTATTCTACCTGGGGAGAAGCCAAGCCTAAACACCTTGTGTGCTTACAAAAAGAGTCAACACAAGTATTCCTCCTATTTCTGGTCTGCTGTTTGGAGATAGACGACTTCTCATGCCCATCTCAACCACATATGAGTTGTTTATAATTTTCTGGGGACTCCCAAGTTTTTTACAATTGGCACAGGGTAAATCATTTGGTAAATGACCAAAATCTTATGAAAGGAGTACCCCAGTCAGTGCTGAGGGGCTCCATAAACTTCTCAAGGTCTGACTTGGGAACTAAGGGAGCCACATCTAATACTATGTGTAAGGGAGGAATCCCAACAAAACATTCTTTAAGCTCTGTAAGATTCAGAGTGGGCTAAAGTCTTACAACCCATCTGTGAATTCACAGATGATCAGTTGAAGAATTTAAGCTACAGGTAAGTACCTATAGCTAGTTCTTTTCTGATAAACATTGGTACTTCCAGCCTCTGCCTGTATTAGTATGTAATTTTAAAACACACAAGTTGAATACACACACCCTAGCTCAGGGGTGTCAAACTGCCGGCCTGTGGGCTGGTTGTATCATGCGGAGATCGCGCCCATCCCAGCTCCGGCAATGCAAAAAAAGTTTGACACCCGTGCCCTAGCTTATTCCTTCTAGCTTTTGGATGACTCAGAAAATTAGAGTCCTATTGCTTCCCATTATTTTATGAATGTTGGTTAAGCTACACCCTGGTTTTATGCATGCTGTTTCTAGTCATTGGAGTAATGCATTTATGAGCATTTAACTTTTTTTAAGAAAAACCCTTACTGTGAATAGACACCTTGCTACATTTGTTTTAGTTCATTATTTTGAACATTCTTGTCTGTTCCCTACATCTTGTAACCTTGTAACAGAAGTAACAATCTTGCTTTCTAACCTTGCAAAGGTTTTATATTTATATTATTCTGAACCAGTTGGATTTATAGAGGGTGATTCCAGATAAATATCACCTACCATAAGCAAGGAAAGGTATTCTGCATCTACTTTTGGCCTCTTTAATAGATTTTTTTTTTTGTAACATAGCAAATGGGACAGGGCAATTTCAGAATAGAAATTGTGTTTGCAAGCAGAAATTTTGACTGTTTCCATAAAAAAAGGAAGTATCAGATCATTCCAAGGTCATTCAACATATATGCTGAGAGACCACATTGGAATATTGAAGGAATTATCTCAACTGAACATAATTTTTTATCCTGGGAAAGTGATGAGGTCTAAAACATTTTAGCATGTTTGCTAGACAGTACTCTTCCCTTAAGGCTTCCTGTAACTCCACATGGTTTGAAGGCATCCTATATGATGTAGCCAAATTTTTCCGATAACTTGGAATAGTAGGAATATCAATAGTACGGAAAGAATGTCCCTGTGGCATTCATTTTCTCTGACAGCTCCTGTAACGCTTTTTAAGTAATTTCATAGTTCACTGGAACACAATTTAACAAGCATTGTTTCGCATCATGAAACTAATTAGATCCAGAAATCTCATTTCCAGGTTTCAGTTCTTTGTGATTTAAACTGCAGGAAATTTTATCACGTTCACGTTACTGAAAGCTATAGGCTTTTGAATATTTTGTGTGGGTATTTTAAAATTGAGATTAAATCCTTTTGGCATATCATGTCCCAAGGCCATCTTCTACCGTATGTAAAGGATAAAAAATGTGATTTTGCAGAATACAGTAAAGGTAGTTCTTGACTTAAAAGTGGAATTATGGCTGTAATTCATGTGGTTATTAAGCAGGTCACCACATGACCCTGTCCGATTTTCCATTTTTTTTTGCTTGTGGTAGGTTAGGTCAGTGATGGCGAACCTTTTAGAGACCGAGCCCCGCCCCCGCTCCACCCCCTGCCCCGCCCCCACCCCGCCTGCTCGCAGGGCCACTCACCGCCTCCAGGGCCTGCTGCAGATCGCCCAGGCAGCCCAGAAGCGCCATGGCAGCCACGCCCTCTCCCCCGTGCCCTGAAGCATCAACTGTGCGCGATGGGGCGTGAGGACAGAGTCTTGTCTACACTGCCTGACTGCCATGTCCTTGGCTGCGCTGTTCCGCGTGGGCCACGCTCGGGGGCGACTCTCCTCCAGGGCGGCTGCTGGTGAGGGGATCGCGGGGGGAGGCAAGGCTGGGGCAATGGCACGTGTGCCCACAGAGAGGGCTCCAAGTGCCGCCTCTGGCACCAGTGCCACAGGTTCGCCACCACTGGGTTAGGTTATTACTTTGGTAATGGAGCACTTGGTTAGGTATGGGTTATATTCAATAGATTTGTGCTTCTCATTGACCTTTATGTTACCTTTATTTTCTCTGCTGATGAGGATATCCAGGAAGGGTGTTGTTGTTCTTAGCTTGCCTTGTGAAATTTATTCCTTTGAAGATATTGTTGATTGTTTCATATGTCTGCTCTAGTTGTTCCTTTTTAAATTATTTATTTATTAAATTAATATGCTACTGTTCTTGCTATCCAGAGTGACTCTGGGTGGCTTATAGTGCTCCTTATGATATAGAGTATTCAAGCTTTAGTGAAGAACCCTGGAAATAAACAGATCTTGCTTCTAGATAATTTTAGTGTGCATTTTATTCCTTGTCTGTTGTTTTAAATACTTGTGCTTGGATTAATTGTGAAAGTCAAATTAATTGCATGTAATGGTATTAGAAACGAAAAATGTCTGTTGCAACCTTTTCTATTCCTTTTTTCTGTGAATGAGTTGGATAACAATTCCCATAATCCCATGTTAGTTATATTGAAGTCTAATGCACCTGGAGGACAGTAGGTTAATGGTGACTGAAGAGAAGAATGAAAACCAGTAACCAGTAATTACTGATAGATTGTATTTTAAAATAACTCTCTACTATTCATATTTAATCCTAATAGTGGTCATAATGTTTAACATGTTAGTGTTCCACTTTTTTATTTTTTATTTTACTAGGTACTATATGTGCCAGGTACTTCAAAAGCAACTTCCTCAAGTTCTGGTGCTCCTATTTCACCTTCTTCATCAGATGCAGAATATGATAAGCTTCCGGTAAGATTTGCATAAGATTTGAATTAAGGTTAACATTTAGAATCAGAATATGTTGCAGTAAAACTTGTGTAGTTTTTGTCATGTGTGCTTGTGTGTGTGCATGTGCGTATATGAATGATACAAGTTTTTCTAAAAGTAAACTCTATGAAAGCTTATGCTATAATATATATGTTAGCATGATTAGATGTTTCTCCAGAAAGACTTCATGGGGTTTAAGAGATTTACTAAAACTGATTAAGCATTTAGGCCAGTGGTGGCGAACCTATGGCATGCGTGCAAGAGGCGGCACTCGGAGCCCTCTCTGTGGGCACGCATGCTGTCGCCCCAGCAGAGTTCGCCAGAGTAGCGAGCACGTAGCGTTTGGAAGCGACAGGGCTTTGGTCCACTGGGGATGCCCTGGAGATGGCGAGGGACTGGTCCCCGCCCCCTGGTCCCGGCCCCCCCACCCCGGCCACGCCCACCCAGTGTGCCGTGACCACCGCAGCTGTGATCACCACAGCTATGCCCACCCATCGGACCACGCCCCGCCCCCCGCTCCTCCTGAGGGCACCACAATGCTGTTGCGGCCCTGGCACTTTACGATACATAAGTGGGTTTTGGGTTGCAGTTTGGGCACTCGGTCTCTAAAAGGTTCGCCATCACTGATATAGGCTGCCTTTGAAAACTATCCAGGATTGTGCCAGTTCCCAAGAATGGCAGTGCTTAAATTTTTAATAAGAGGCAGTTCCTCTGTGGCCTTAACCTTCCAACGTTATCCAATAATAGAAGAAGGAAAAAAAGGCAAAGTTGGTATAAAAACAGGCTTATAGATATCTTGTTGGTGGTCTATTTCTGGGAATGACTAATGCATTTCAATCTATACCAGAAGTCATCAACCTTTCTTGGTTGGCAGACCGAAGGGAAAGGGAGGGGGAAGCATTTTACATGCGCGCATGATACTCACTAACCCTGCCGTGTTCTTGCGTGGCACAGTGCCCCGTTACCATGCCCTGCCTTGTGGCAGCACCCATTTTTGCACCCCGAGGTGCGGCGTCCCATTTTCATGCCCTGAGGTGCAGCTGTGGCCCGTTTTCATGCCATGAGGCATGGCGGTGGCCGATTTTCACGCCATGAGGTGTGGCGGCATCCTGTTTTTGCACCCTGGAGCACAGCAGCCCGTTTTCGCACCCCATGGCGCAGTGTCCTGGTTTTGCACGCTGTGGCACTAGAGCAAATGGTGTGTGTGCGCACACGTGCGCGCACTGGCCAGCCTGTTCCATGGCCCAGTGGCCAGTAGGCCACGGCCCTCTACCAGGCTGCAGCCCACAGGTTGGGGACCCCTGAGCTATACAACAAACATGAGTTTTGTGTTATTGGAGGACGGTTTTTATAGAAAGCATACATAATATAACAATAATAACTGTTATGGATACTGGTTTGGAAACCTATTTTTCCTTTCATGGAGATCACAGCTTCTGTTTAGGGAGTGGGGCTTCCCTACAGCCCCTTTAGTCCTGGAAACTGTCTATGTCTCAAGCATTTCCTCAGGCCTTTGAGATGATACCAAATATATGGTGAATATTCATGATTTTTGCAAAGGGATGGATTAGTAAGGATCGCATTCTCTTGCATGAATGAACTCCTAACTTAAGATCTAAGCCATTGCTTTGTCTAATTTTATTTTTGAAGGATGCTGATTTAGCAAGAAGGGCTTGTAGACCTCTTCAGAGAGTTACGTCGTCCACCTCAGAGGAAGATGAACCGGTGTATAAGTTTTTAAAAATGAATTGTCGTTACTTCACAGATGGCAAGGTAGAGAAGTTGGATAATTCCCAACAAATTTGCTTCCTATGTGAAATACCAATTATAAAGTAGAACACCAAATGATATATTAATCTGGAAATAGGTTCATCAGATAGTAAAAAGGAGCAGATCTTTAATGGGGTAAAGAGGCATCTTAATAATGTACCTATCTTGCAAAAAGATTCAAAAGACTATCATGGTAGTAATCCAAGTGAGGCTATGCTACAGGTCCCTAACATAAAGGGCACTAACTGATAATCTTGTTTTGATTGCACCTTTAAAATTGTTCATTGAAATAATTTTAGAAGCCCCACCCATTTGTTTCTTATTTTATCAGCAAGAAATAGTTCATTTCAGGTATGGTAGATTGGGTTGCAGAATTCATATTATAACCTTAAACCTCTTGATTGAGATGGAAAAGCAAAGGCTTAATCAGGTGGGAAGAATGTTCCAAGGTGTGGGGTTAAGAAACAAAAATGCCTGTTTCTAAGTTCCTGTCAGATGGCATTCTTGAATAAATTGTATGGGCAGAAGAGATACCTCTGGAAGGCAACCTACCGTCATTCTCATTTTACCCCGAGCTCCAGCCCAGCTCATCATTTGTTTCTAAATGGCAATTTTAGAACAATTTGGAGTGAGTTTTACAGGTGCGAATGACAGTAAAAGGCCACTATGCTTAAGTGCTATCAAATTGGTGTCAACCCTTAGTTACCAGGTAGCTAGATTTTCTCCATGGTGATTTGATCCCTAGTTCTTTAGGTCTTTCAGTGGTACACCCATCAACACTGTACTTGAATTCATCCACCTTGCTTTAGACACTTTCTTCTTCTCTTTCTTTTTATCTTTTCCATCATTAGAGCCTTCTCCAGCGAGGTGGGTCTTCATCTAATGTGTTGAAGTAGGATTTAGCCAGATCATTTGTGCCTCGAATGAGAATTCTGGATTGATTTGTTCAGTGTTCCATTTATTTGTTTTCTTGGCTGTGTCAGGACTGTTCTCCAATATCATGTTTGAATATCTTCTTTCTATCCTGTTTCTTGAAAGTCCCACTTTCAGTTTCACTTCCATAGTTAGTTTAGGTAAAACTATTGCCTGCATGACCCTGATCTTTGTATGTAGAGACACAATGTGGTATCTGAACATCTTTTCCAAGATCTTCATGGTTACTCTACCAAGTGCTAGCCTGCAGTGTGTTTCTTAATGTTAGTTCCTTTAGGGTTGATACTCGATCCTAAAAAAGCAGAAACTATCCATCTCTTTAATGTCTTAATTGTCATTTCTGAGGCTGGTTGTTGTACCTGTGGTCATTAGTTTGATCTCGTTTATTTTTAATCTTAGTCTTATTTTCTCACTCTGCTTCTTAACTAGAACTTGCATTTTCATCAACCTGAGTTTGCATTTTCAGCTATCAGAGTAGTATCATTTGCATAACACAGGTTACTGATGTTTTTTTCCTCCAGTTTTAAAGCCATGCTCATCTTCTTCCAACCCAACTTCCCTCTGTGTATATTCAGCATGTAGTCTGAATAAATAAAGGGAGAATATGCAGGCTTGTCTCACTCCTTTGCCAACCTGCAGTCAATCTGTTTCACCATATTCTGACCATACTTTGATTTCTGGACCTGTGTGTAGGTTTTGCCAAGGACAATGAAATGTTCTGGGATTCTCATTTTTCTAAGTAGATTCCACAGCTTGATATGATTAATGCAGTGGAAGGCCCTTCTATAATCAATGAAGCACATACTGACTTCTTTTGAGCACGTTTGTCTTTCTCAATTAAAATTAATAATACTCTTAATACTGCTTCAAAAATATATTCTCGGTCTTTCCTCTTGTGATAACACCATCATCACCTTTACCACCTCTTGCAGCACTTTGGAAATCAGGAGCTAAGTTGTGGCCTGCAGTGTTGCTTTTTTAATGGATTTTTATTAATTGTTTGGAGTCTTTGCATCACAGATATAAAACATTTAAATTGAGATCAACGATTCTAATTTTTATAGAAAATTTGTACTCCTAGTCTTCTGTGACTATACTGAGCTTCCTTGATAAAATTGTTGATAAAGAAAGGCTAGGCTGAAATTGTTTTGGGAAAGGATCCTTCAGATACTTTCATTGGGGTGATTAAGATTTTTAAGACAAAGAAAAGCTAGGCTGAAATTGTTTTGGAAAATGAACCTTCAAATACTTTTGTTGGGATGATTAAGACCTAAAAGTATTTGCCACTCTTGTTATCTTAATTTTTGTGTATACATGTAAGCAAAAGAAAAGTGATTTGAAAAGTGATCTGAAGAGAAGAGAGTGTTCAGTTCTCTCCTAATCTGTTCCATCTATATTCTCATAATGTTCTCTAATCACATTCTCTTTGCCTAATCCGTGTTTTCGGTGACTTTTTTCTCCTCTAGTATATATGTAATATGTACTTAAGATCTACAATAGAGCCATTTAAATTGCTTCTCTATCTTAGAACCATTCAAAGTTCCTACTGGGAATTCTACATCTGAGAACTAAAATCAATTAAAGCTAGGGCTTGCAGCCAAAATCAGAAAATGTATTGGACTGTCTTGTGAATCTTCCTTTTGATTCTCGTTGATTAACAAGCTGTAGCTCCTCTTTCACTGCAACCAAGGTTGAAAGTTAAATACTTCGATCCCTTTTTATAACGGTGGCCTTGTCTGCTGAAGATAGATGTGTTTTGAAAATCTTTTAATCTTGGCTCAGTTTTAGCTGAGATTTCCCCCCCCCCCCAACTCTTCCTCCTCACTGAGCACTTGGGAAGAAAACAAGACTACATTAGAGAAGAAAGGGAGTGTAAAAAACACAGAGGGTACATTGTGTCATCATGTTGTGACAGTTGTGATGCAATGAGTGTAAGTACTAACTGTCTACTTATTTTTATTTTGTTTTTCAAGGGAGTAGTTGGAGGGGTCATGTTAGTCACTCCCAACACTATCATGTTTGATCCTCACAAGTCAGACCCTGTTGTCATTGAGAACGGCTGTGAAGAGTATGGGCTCAAATGTCCCATGGAGGAGGTAGTTTCGATTGCCCTCTACAACGATATCTCTCACATGAAGATAAAAGATGCCCTTCCATCGTAAGAAGTGTTTTCCTTGTTGATTGTGTTTGACCATTATCAGGTGGATGTAACATTCAGCCAACTGGCAAGGAAAAAGAGAACATTGTTAAAATTGTGGAGCAAAATACCACCTGACAAGAAAGGAATGTAGAATGACAATGCAAACATAGGCCCCAATACTATTTTTAGCAGAGAACGTTTAAAAAAAATGATTTTTTTTGCTTTGTGAATGGCATAATTTTTTAAATCCCGGCTTCATTGCTTTATAAGTAACTCAAAACAGCAAACATAAATAGTACTCCTTCCTCTTCCTCTCTTTCCCCACAATAACAACCATGGGCTGAGAGAAGGTGTCTGGCTCAAAGTGACCAGCTGGCTTTCATGTCTAAAGTGGAACTAGAACTCTCAGTCTACTGATTTCTAGACCAGTACTTTCACCACTTGACCAAAGTGGCTTTATTTGATATTATTGTTCTCTAATACATGGGTTATGTTTTGCCAGTGGTGCAACTGTTAACGTGAAAAGTTGTTTTACAAGGTGCTTGACCTGTGTAAAACCAGTAGGGTAAAATATTCTGTGTTAGAATTTTATAACTTCCCCAAAAGGTCATGAAAACTGAGCAGTTAAGAATTCTGAAGAGAATAAAAGCTGCCAAATGGCAGGAAACCAAGAAATGACAAAGATGTTCCAGAGAACCGGCGGAGAGTATAGATTTACTGAGCTAATTTCTGCATGTTATTGTATCTTGCCCATGCCATTAATTAAACTGAATGTTCTTGGCCAAAGGCTGTAAGGAGGAGATGTATGATGGATCCTCTTGTCAGAAAGCAGATCTTGAAATCATTTCCTGTGGATGGGAATAACTTCAGTGGAAATACACTGATAAAAAAAAAAAAAAAAAAA